AACAGGAAATGTAGGTCAGATTATATCGACCTTTGTCAAGATCTATCATGCTGATCTAGAAGAAGCTAAATACAAAAGTTACAATTATGAACACCACAACGTGTGCCTCAAAATTTAAGTTCATGTAGTAGGAAATGAAGGTCATACATTTTGGATTTAATTTTGATGGGAAGCCTTATCTCACCAAGAAGTACCCCTATTTTAGGTTTCAGGACTTGTACGTCTCTTAGATGTTTTTCAGAAACGGCTTATTCAAGATGCTTTCCTTTATCAATTTAAATGACTGCAAGTCACTTAGTATAGGATATGGATTTAAATCACTGTTTTCCAATCATAAAATGATGCTTAATAGTAGAAATAGGTCACACTGATAACTTTTTATAGGAGTTTTCTTCAACGCATTGGTTATTATCAAACCAAGTCGAGTTGGGTAAAATATTGTTTAGATGGGTCAGAAGATATTGTCTGGAAAGTCAAATGTGATGCCCGGACCTGTTCAAACCAAAAAGATTCCAAATTGTAATTTGCTGCTTCTCTGCTGAACATACAACATTTAAAGTCCAGCAAAAACTGGTTAGCTGACTGAGAGTCAGAATAACATGTCTGGGTTGATAGACATGTCTTTCTATGGACTGTTGCCTTTTGAACTAGCAAGTTAAAATCAGGCTAAGGATGTCAGACAAGTACAAAGTAGGGTTCATATTCAATGTTCTGCATGGGGTTTATAGAATAGAGAATAATGACCAAATATAACGAATAGATAAAGAAAAATAAAAAATAAAAGAATAATGCGGTGCAAAAGTATAAAAAATAACTTTGAAAAATAAATTAGGCACTACTATATACAGATTAATACAGATTAATATGATTGCAGAAAAATTAACAGTAAATCATAACAAAAGCCCTAAACCTTTTCTTTTTTCAAGCTGCCGCTGAACCATGAAAATGAGGTCAAGGACAACAGCCATATGGCAGACGGGAACTTTAATTGTAACATTAGGCATCTGTTTACAAGGTATGAAACATCGAGGTCTTCTACCCTATGAAATATAAAGCTTTATAAAAATAGTTTACGCTGAATTGAAAATCCTGTAATTACTCCTGTTCTGATATGTTGCACATCAATTAAGGCTTGATGGGGGACATATCAAAACGATAGCAAATAAAGGATTTGATTCTAACTTTAGTTAGATTTGAATAACTTTATTTTTAATGACAAAGAAAATCGATTTTGTCCTCAATACACATTTAATTTACCGCTGGACGTTAAATAGTTATGCATCATCATTATCATCTGTAATGCAATATACACTTTATACCTTTCATTTCCAAACTTGAGGGTATCACCACACTAGTAGTCAGCTCGTTTGTGCCGACAGGAAATATCATTGACCAGTGGCGGATCCAGGGGGTGGGGGTTTCCGGGGGGTTGGAAACCCCCCTCTTTTTTGACGATTAATGCTTTTGAATGGGGACATATGGTTGGAACCCCCCTCTTTTTTGACGATCAATGCTTTTGAAAGGGGACATATGGTTGGAACCCCCCTCCCCCTTTTAAAAATGGATGGATCCGCCCCTGAATTGATATGTTCATTTTATGTAAATTTACCTTTTATACAATATTGTTTCTACCCCCAGGTATAGATTGACTTAATCGAATTTGGCACATTTTTTAAAGGAATTTTCAGTCATTAATGCTCTTCGACTTCTTAATATTTGATTTGGCTTTGCAACTGTTTTGATTCTAGCACCACTGATGAGTCTTATGCAGACAAAACGTGCATCTGGCGTACACAATTATGAGCCAGGTATCTTAGATGAGTTTCTTTTTAAGGGGGCCTTAGTGGCTAAGTTGTTCATCTACTGCTATCACTAGACTAAGTTCGAAACCTGCTTAAGGTAAGTACAATCGATTCCTGTCTTAATTGACTATGATTTCCAGTTTTCCTGCCAAAGGTCGGTGGTCCTCCATCAACTAGATATCATTGAGATGGGAGCCATCTCTGTGGGCCCCGCTGTGAATAATGTGTGGTAAAAAATTTGTATCTTTATCATTGGACATGGGGTTGTCAAATGAAACCGAAGTTTATGACCTTGACCTTTGACCTAGGAAGTTGTACATAAATTATGACACACCCTCTGGTGTTAGTTTATATACATGTCAAGTATAAACTTTGAAATCATAACGGTTCTCAAGATATAGAGCGGACACGATCTTTACCATAGGACATGGGGTTGTCAACTAAAACCAGTTTTTGACCTTGACCTTTGACCTAGGAAGTTGTACATACATTATGACACACCCTCTGGTGTTGGTTTATATACATGTCAAGTATAAACCTTGAAATCATAACGGTTCTCTAGATATAGAGCGGACACAATTTGTTACGGACGGACGGACAGACTGATCACTGTAGGGCGTCCACCATTCAGCGGGGCCGTAATAACAAGAGGGCACACGATGAAATGTCTCGCCTGCTTTGCTTTTTATGATTGATTTATGTTGATAATCCTAATGATAAAGTTTTAACTAAAGATTTCACATAAACTAACATTATCAATGATCCATGAAAATGAGATCAGGGCAAGATAAACCAAGCCAGATAGACATGTACACCTTAAAATCATTATATACACTAAATATAGTTGACATACTGCTTATAGTATACAGTAAACAGACCAAGCCATGAAAACTTAACATTGACCAATGAACCATGAAAGTGAAGTCAAGGTTAAATGAACCCTGTCAGACAGACACATACACTTTACAATCATTCATACATTAAATATAGTTGACCTTTTTTGCTTATAGTACCTGAGAAACAGACTAAACCAGGCAAACTAAACATTGACCAATGAAGCATGAAGATAAGGTCAAGGTCAGACAGACATGTACACTTTACAACCATTCAATATCCCAAATATAGTTGACCTATTACTTTAAGTAGTAGATTAAAATACTCAGCAGGGAGCTTGATACGACCCTATAGGTCAAACCATGAACAGTTGGGGCAAGTATGGACACAACATTCAAGCTTGATATAGCTCTGAATTTGGATTGTGATTAAATATTTGAGACAGCATAGGTTTCTGACACAGAATGAATGTGTTGTTAGAACTTAAAAATTTGAAATTGGACATTTACCCATTATAGTCCAATATCCAAAATCAAAATACATGGTTAGATTCAGCAAATCAAAGAACCCCAAGAATTTAATTTTTGATAAAATAAAAATTTAATTTTGAAACTTTTGGACCTTAATTGTGACCAATTTGAAAATCTGGCACAAAATAAAAAATCAATTACATGGTTAGATTGAGCGTATCATAGAACCCCAAGAATTTATTTTTTGTTGAAATCAAAAAAAGTTTAATTTTGGACCCTTTGGACCTTTATGTGGACCAATTTGAAAACGGGGCTCAAAATTCAAAATCTACATACACGGTCAGATAGGCATATCAAAGAACCCCAATAATTCAATTTTTGATGAAACAAAATTAATTTAGGACCCTATGGTACTCAGTGTGGACCAATTAAAAACCGGGGCCCAAAAATTCACAAGATAATTTTACACGGTTCAATTCAGCATATTAAAGAACCTCCAGAATTCAAGACATTCTAATAAACCCCATTGAAATTAGTTAAGAAATCAGCATTTTATACAAAGCATTAGAAAAGTATTGTTTTTGGCCCCTAATTCCTAGGGGTCATAACCCCCAAAATCAATCCAAACCTTCCTTTTCAGGTATGGAACCTTGTGGTACAATTTCATAGAGATCCATACACTTATGCACAAGTTATTGTCATAAAACAAGAAAAATATTTGTCTTCGGCCCCTTTTTGGCCCACAATTCCTGAACAGTTAGGACAATGACCTCCCATATCAATCCCATCATTCCTTTTGTGGTATAATTTCATTGAGATCCATACACTTATACTCAACGACTGTACAAGACCCTCATGGGTAGTCAAGGTCGTTAAACACCCCCTAGTAGTAGTACTTGTACTCAAGTTATTGTGACGTCATACCATCATATGGTCGCAAAAATATTGCGGTCGTATAAAAAGACCAAAACACATAAACTTAACATTGACCAACGAACAAGGAAAATGTACACCTCAATCATTCAATACACCAAATATAGTTGACCTACTGCTTACAGTATCCGAGAAACTGAACTAAGCATGTAACTTTAACCTTGATCACTGATCCATGAAACGAGGTTGAAGTCAGGTAAGCCATGTCTGACACACATGTAAACCTGGCAAGGAACCCAAGCAAGAAATTCACACAACCTACACATTTTTCAAGCAGTCGGTGAACCATGAAATGAGGTCAAGGACAACAGACATAACAGAGGGAAACTTTGTAACATAGGCATCTGTATACAAGGTATGAAGCCTCCAAGTCTACTATCCTCTGAAATATAAAGTTCAATACAGATAGTTTACGCCACCACCGCCAGATTGAAATCCTATGTCTCGCATTCTGCGACATTCGTAAAAGGCAAGACAAAAACTGTCCACTAAGATATAGTCTGGAGTGTTGAAAGTGGATTTGAACACCAGTAATCAATCATCAATCCAACCTTGGACCTTAACTATCCTTATTTATACTATCTGCAATTAGCATAATAGGTGAAATCTATCTCTTCATTCAATCTTTAATCCATTACTGAATTTCCAGATTCCTTGAAGTTAAATGGAATCATCCTTTCACCATATTTATGGTACCATTGTTGATGTATATAGGTTTAAAGAATTCAATAAACTGAGATTTGCAAATGCTAATACAACTGCATACCAAATATCATTGACCTAACCACTAATGGTTTCCCATAAACTGACCAAATCACAAAATAATACATTGTTGACACCTCCACTGACACTAAAACAGCACACCTAAGAGTCCCTTCTTCGACTTTGTCAAGGCGAGACTATTCAAAAATGTTTGCGAGAAATGTGTAAAAGACACCAAAATATAAGACAACATGTGAACTTTTGTGAAGCAATATTTATTAGAGTTTAAATATATTTATATCCAATTTTGTTTCAGCTACATAACTTAATCCCAACAACTTGTAATACACAGGTAAACAAATATCGTAATACACAGGTAAACAAATATTGTAATACACAGGTAAACAGAAAGAATACAATCACAACTCTGTATGTCTCCAGTTTGTAAAATACTACTGCAATAACAAAATATTAGGATTTATCTCCTTAAAACAGACATAAATCTATTTCAGATGGATAAACTTCCCCTTTTCAAAAGTAACCTTTAAACTGAAAATGTATAAAAATATATATATATAGGAAGTCACTTAACCCTGGTTCAAGATATTTTTTTAGCTGCAACTGTAACATTTTCAAAGCAACAATCTCAATAAAAGACCAATAAAAGTTAAAATCATAAATATGATTCATATCTTGGATACACTGCAGTGGTATTTTAGAATTTTGAGACAGTACAGGATATAAGAAAAAAATAATCATCTTAACAGGATATAACATTTTTGACACTTATATTATTTCAGGACTGGTTTACTTTGCTATGATTAGGAATGAGCAACCGAGAACAGAAGCACAGAGTTACATTGATGGCACATACTTTTAATTATAATACCAGCCAATAACAATATGTTAACTGAAATATGTAACATTGTTATGCATTTATCCTCCATCCCCCTCTTATATTTCATAATTTTAAAGTTTTAAACAAAACTATAAATATTTTATTTATGAAATTAATTTTTAACAATACATTACTACCTATAACTGACAAAACTAAAAAAATGCTTCTTTTGCTGACAAAACTAAATTTTAGGCACTTGCAAGTATCAGACAAAATGCTATTTACATTAAACCATAATGTTAATCAGCTGTAAAATACATTTGCCATTCTATGTTTAATTTAATACATTCTTCATTATTAAGGCATATACAAGAGAAGAGAGAAAACTGAAAAACATTGCAATAATTTCTGATTGAAGATCTTGCTATAGATAATTTATTCGACAATATGCATAATTTCAGTTAGAAAATTACCTCTGGTAGTAAATAATTTGTGACACCAGAATTGCAACTATGTATTTACAGTAAAAGATTGGTAAAAAATGTTTTGGCAAGGAATACACAATGATAGAGGAAAGGACACTTACACATTTTTTAACAGAGAAAAAGTCTTACAGCATTTAGTTACATGTAATGTATAATTCTCATTTTTGAACTTCCCCAAAATGCTTTAAAAAAATGAGTTTGATCTTTTTATTAATAATATTTCATCAACATTTATTATATTTCATGAAAAAATAAGCAAAATGTATACAGATCTCTGAACTGAAAATGAAGATAATTGTTTGAAGACAGTAAAAGACTCTTGAGTCAGTTAGTGCTTACATAACTATCAAACCGAGTTATAAATTATTTATAATTAGAAAGCATCACAAGGTTAATTCCCATAACTGCAAAAAACTTAAGCTTGCATCACATTGAAAATCATAGTTTTTCATATGTCATTTAAACTTGAGTGATTAATATGCAAATAATAGGCTTGTGACCCCTATAACTGTTATATATCATTAAAAGGTGTCAAATGTCTACAATATTATTTGTTATCAGATTTGTAAGTTATGTGGGTCCCTATTAAAAGATCTAGATAAACAAACTATTAAATCAAAAATATTTCATACTTATTATTTCTTAATTCCATGTAAAATATGACTACAAAGGGTAATAGATTCTAACAACAGTACCAAAAGGGACCTGTGGACAATCATTTTTACATAGGAAATTGACTCTAGACTTTTCTATGATCTTGGCTCTAACAAAACAGCTATACCTCTTTTCTAAAGAGCTATTTTACAACTTATAAATGATTATTAGTTATTCTAAATTGTTCATGACTTAAAAGTGATTTTCCTAGTAACATTATTTGCAAAAACCAAAATTCTTGTCCAAAAAAAACTCTGACTTTAAATTATTTCTTCTAGTTAAGTGAATAAGAATATATCTCAATTTTTTCAAAGAAAAGTGTTGCAGAAAAAGAGCATTTAGCATACAAGAATATAGGAATTACTGTAACAGACTATATGTTTCTGTTTTTGATGATATGAAAAACAATACATATGCAAGACAAACAGAACAATCGCCAAAAAAATATGACATTTAACATAACAAAACATAAACTCATGTAATATATATATACATTTGTAACACATGTTTCCATTCATACATATGTAGCTGAAACAAATCTAGGACAATAAACCTCTGCCTTCTTATACACTTTTTTGTTGTTGTTATCAAAGACACATGTGGACCTCTTGTTTCCATTAGTTTTGTTGTTCGATACAAAAATGATCTACAGCTGAAAAAAATATAGTACTTTGAAATATCTTTCTTATTCTTATCATCTGTAATTTATTTAGTTATCATTTCATTACAAGAATCAACAGAATGTGTTGAGAATGTAGTACTTTTTTTAACTAGAATCACAAATACACTGTTAAATGTTCATACTCTTTGATGGGATGAATTACATATTCAAACTACAATTATATAAAAGTATTTTTTCTATTTAAATAAAACTTTCTACAATGATTAACCATAAACATAAATTAAGACACCACTTGGTAACTAAATACTTCTGTGTATGGAAATGCATTTTATTTAAGTTGTGTAAATTATTTTAAGCTACATTTAACTCTTATCTTTTTTATTCAAAAGAAAAATGTCAGATTTGTTGCTAATTATTAGAGTCAAAATTTATGTGACCATATTTTAACATCACTTCCCTCTAATAAACAACTTTTGAAGACATTTTTCCTTATCTTATTTGATAACAGCAATAATACCTTGCTTTTAAAGGGAGGAAACTCCTTTATTTCAAAATGCAAACAAAATGTCCACATGGCACAATCTTGATATCAACATTTTAAATAATTTTTTATTTTCATTTGTGCTAAAAAGTACATTTATAGAAGTATATTTAGCCCACACATTTGGAATTGTAACATTTCAAATACAAATGTCAATATTTTCAACATATAAATTTTTCAAAGCAAAACAAAAAAATGGAAACAAAAAAGTACAATTAAAATATAGTAATGTTGAAACACATTGTTTGACAGAAAATGCTATTTTTACACTTGAATTCAGACAAAAAAAATAAAAAATAAATAAAAATCCCTTTTTTCCTCGAAAGTATGAACATATAAATTGCATTTTCTTCAAAAAAATAATCAAAACCTTAAAGTTCACATTTGGCAACTACAATACAGTTCACTATAATCTGTAAGTAACACATCTGTCTCTGAACAATGGACAAATCTTATCTTCTTTTTCATTATGGACCTTAATAAGTTAGTCACACTATATCTTTAGTCACATGATACCTTGAAATTTGAACATATAATTCATTTTATGTTAAATTTTGGTCTTTCAAATATAAGTAAAAACAGACTAAACTGTTAATTTTTTTAAGATCATTTAATTCACGATTATTCAAAAAAACAAAATTCAAATCCAAGAAAATGATGAATCATGTTCAACTTTTCTTGAATTGTGTTTGTCTGTAACCATGGTTACATACCCTGAAATTTTCTTTTAAATGAAACTGAAACCATCATTTGCATCTATAAATAATTTACTGAAAATACAAATTGATGATTTCATAACTTAAGGCTTTCATATGTATGAAATATTTAGAAATAAATCGAAATTCAAAAGTACAATTTCCTTGATTTCAAAAAAAGCAGAATGTGAAACTTTTTTTTAATGCACCTCTGACTAAACTTAACATAATTATAGTAACAAGTTTTTTTTTAATTTGGGGAAAATAAAAACATATAACTTTGAGATGAAGAACAGCAAGAAAAGGACAGGTGCATGAAGGGATTTTTGGTCACAAATAAAGACACCATATCCCTTCGTTTTCATTATAAAAGCTTATCAAAAGTTGCAAAATCTAAAATTTCATCCTGATTATAAGAGTTAACAATTCAATCTAAGTAAGAGAAAAATATTCATTTAAGCAATTGCAACATAAATTTCTCTTATAGGTCCATATTGAAACATTCAACTGTAAGTTTTTTCTGGTAAAGACCGTTTTTCCTCAAGAAGATAACAACAGGCACTTGAATTATATATATCGTGATTTTGATGAACAAGTAATAAAATAAAAGACAAAATAATACTGAGCCTTAGTTTTTTTTTAAAGATTTTCTCATTTATACAGGGCGATAATTTCAAAGAGAAAAAAAGATGCAGTGACTTAAAAGTAGAAAAGAAAAAAAGATAAAAAAAAAAAAGCAAAGGATAAGTGAAAAGAAAATTGAACATATTCTTAACATGCATGTCTTTACCAGAAAATATATACCCCTTCTTCAAAACAACTTTTAACAATAAATACAGTTTCTCATGTTATAAACTATAACAAGAAACAAAATCACAAATTTATGCAGTTAACTGCTTATGTCATTGAAAAATCTAATTGACTGTTTACGACATTGTAAAAACTAACAATGTCAATGATGTAAATATGTATCGATTCCCAGAGAAAAAGCAATGATTTCACTAGCCAGCAGTACTAATGCACACAACAGAAGTTCATGAGGTTAATCTGTGGTCTTCAAGCCTTGTATACTAGTACTTCATTTGGGTCTGAAAAAGAAGACAAAATTCATAAAAAAATAAGGAAAAATTCCAATAATGCCAATATCAATTGCTTTAATACTTATAAGCTAAATAAATTGGCTAGAAACTGCAATTTTTTTGGCTTTTGCTCAACCATGCTGAGCAAGTTTAAAAAGTTCTCTGCACTCATGGAATATAATGTTATCACCAGTTTTTCATTGTTTTTGTAATTAACAGCACTTCTGTTTAACAAACAATTTTTATAGATGAGTCTAAATGTTCTGTTTCAATGATAACCAGATAATTTATTTTTAAATTTGATCGATAAGATTTGTGCCCTAAATATTTGATCCAACTGTTATATTGTTTGTCAGATTAATGAAACATTGTAGCAATTTGTCTGACCAAATGTCTGAATTTTTTGGTGAATCTGTTGGTCTGGATGGTTTGTTTGTTCATTATTATAGATTGGATTGATTTCATTTTTTGTTTCCCCAATATGTTTTCACTCATATTAAGCTCTATAGCTTTTATTCAAAGATGTGTTAATTGGAAAACATATATCATCGTCATTAACAAAGAACATTGTGAAGAGTTTGATACAGAACAAAAGTCAGTAAATAATGATATCTCACCCTAAATAAGGTGAGAAAATAATAAATGTGTTTCTTTTTTTTATATTCAGATCAATATACAGTGAAACCTGTTTTTAAAGACCAACTAAGGGAGAGCAAAAAAGTAGTCTCATAGGACAGGTGGTTTTTTTATACAGGTTCAATTTATATGAAATGCACTATATATACATGATATATGCAGAGGGACCTTTAATTTATAGTCTTATAACACAGGTTTTTGCTTAATACAGGTGGTCCCTTAAGCAAGTTGACTGTATATGGATAAACATGTAACCATCGAGTACACATGTACTTACATTTTTTACTTCCATCTAATGCTCTTTCCCATTCTGAAAAAGAAACAATTAAATGAGATGACCATAAGATTTATTATAATTTTCCCTCAAATAATGTCAACATATATAAATCTTGGATTAATAGCATTTTTCGTATATATGATATAAAAATATTAATTTATAAAGCCTCATTAATCTTTCTTCAGGGTCCAGTAAAAGGCCTCATTCGCACCTAATTATTTGAGAATCATGCACAATTTGAAAAATTATTAGAGTACCTCAATAAATTTGACTCCCATAAGATCCTGATTACATGTTAACTAGATAACCCTTATCATTTCTTTTGTTGAAGAACAGGAGTTCAATGTTTGTCTCCTGTAAATTATGTTTCTTATGCCAAACTATTCTTTTCTAGTATGTTTTCCTTGAAATGGTTTATATTGTAAATGTGAAGTTTTTGCAAAATACAACTGGTGCAGCTTTCATCAACTTTCATATGATGGTTTGCCAAAAAGTGGCTACAAGGAAAGTTAAACTGTTTACTTACACAATGAACAAGATAAACAAAACATAAAACTGTTAGCTTAATGACAATAGAACAAGCACTTGTAATTTGGAATGTAACCTTGAGATGTTTACTGACTGGATTGAATTATCTCCCCTGTCAATGACCTTGTATTTACACAAATTCAGGATTAACCAAGCAAATGAGGTTCAAAGTTACTAAAAGTATCCATTTAAATGTTAAATAAATGTTCTTTCTACTTGACAGATTTTGAATAATGTGCAACTCTCATCAGGTGTAAAGTTTTTATTTCAGATTTCAGGAGCCATGTATTATGTGTGTATATTATTAGTACATAAAGTACATAGATATCCATATTTGAATTTCAGTGAGTCTACAAACATTTAATCTAAAAAAAAAACCTGCATTCCAAATATCAAATTTACACTCTCTAATAACAGATTTGTAAGTGTAAACTGTATATTATTAAAAAAATCTGTATTTTTGTTTTACATTCAAGTGAAGAAATTATAGGTACTTCACTTGCAATTTGGTCATCAGAAATTCCAAATCTTGATTTCTTACAATAAACAGATAAAAGGTTCTTGTTTCTCCACAAGTGTCAAATACTGAAAACAAGCAACACTCATACAGGTGTACCTATGACAACAAATGTCTATTTTTGTGCATGTGTTTAGCAGCTAGATTAATCAATGACATGTTGTGAATAGGTAGGTAAAAATAATCAATATTTATAACACTATGTAATCTTGTTTTTACATTGTATGTAATCACTGTATTGGACTTGAATACATGTTATTGAAAGTTCATTTATAGACCTTAAAATGATTTTTACCATGCAAAAATTTTAATCAACATTCTTGTTGCTGGGCCACACTCACCATAGATTCCCTACATTCAAATTAGTAAATCATGTAAATTAAGAAATTAAGGCAAGATTAAGTACATAAATGCATCTTGAAATTCGCATAAAATTCATGTCATACAAAAAAGCCTACAATGAATGTTGAATAGACAAATACCCTTTTTTTTAATTATTAAACACAATGTCCTTCCTTATGTCCAAACTTACCTTTATTAAGATAACTAACAGCTTCTGGGAAATTGAATCTTTGATTAGAATTGTTGTCTCCCGAATCCTGACGGAAGAAAAGCTGCTGTTTACACTTATCATCTTTTGGCAATGAATTCACTTCTAAGTCTATTCTATCTCCAATTGTAATAAGAACTACATTATCAGATTGACTAACGTTCGATTGTTCCTTGGAATTTGATAATTTTGAGTCACTTGAGATCTGGGCAGCTTCTATGACCTGGTTAGGCTCGCCAATGAACATGATAGTATTGTCTTTATGAGAAAGATGTTTGTTTTGAACATTAGGGTTTATGATGTGTTCAATAACACCATTTTTGCCAGCTAGAGGATGGCTTTTTTGTGAGGAGTCTGTCCCAAATTCTTTATTACTATTTGAAATAGATAATTTGTCTATCACAGAATTTTCTGAAGAATTTTTCCTAAGATTTTTGGAATCAGTTTTTGGAATATTACTTGAATTACTTTGTAAGCTAGAAGATGAGCACTTTTGTATGTTTTCGGAATTATTATCGGCAACATTAGACTCGTTTGCAGAGTCAAAGAAAAATGATATGCCCAAGTTACGAGGGGCCTGACTGACTCTTTTATCCATGAATATTACAGACTGTTTTACTCTTTTAGAATTATTAACTGTTTGTTTTACAGACTTCACTTTCTCAGCATTATTTGTTTCACAAATCTTTTTAGGGTTTGACACTTTGTATGATGATTCACTGCTGGACTTGTCATTTTCAAGAGAACACTCTAAATCTTCATTTATCTGCTTGGCAGTTTCAGACTCATATTTTTTACTATATGATACGGTCATTTGACTATCAATGATATTTGTATCATTTGGAATAACATCGCCAAATGACACATTACTACATAGACTAGTATTACTTTCTTCAGTTTTAATGGAATTTGTAGAGCTAACAACTTTGATATCAAATCCAACTTTGGGAAAGTCAGTATCCACTAATACAACATCCTGATCACTAAAGTCACCATCCACTAATACAACTTCCTGATCACAAACATTTAAAACTTCTTGACTTCCATATTTTTGTTTGATGGAAGAACTTTCAATTTCTTTTACGTTTTCTGGATGAGAACCAATGGAATGCCGCCTCTCCTTAATTTGTCCTTTCCAATTGGCTGCTTTCAAGTCCATGCTTGTTTCTTCAGGTTCATCATCTGCTGTAGAGCTTCCCAAGGAAGTAACACTAGGTTTTGGAGAAGCGGCCATTTTTGCATAGGAAACCGGGAGACGTGGGGATAGACTATTTTGTAGCCAAGCTCCTTGTGAAGAAGCAGGGAGGGATTTCACTGATTCAATATCACTGTCATCTTGAGCTTTTATAATACTTTGAACTTCCATTCGAACATCACCAGTAGAGTTCCTCCTAGCATCACGGAAACCTGGTTGATTAGAGCTGCCAAGGGCAGGAAATGCTGATGGACTAAGGTCTCGTGTTCTTTCTCCTTCAATGTTTGATGAAAGTTTGTTTAAAGGAGGAGGTGTCACTGAACGGGGAGCCTTGCGTCTTTCTTCCCTTTTAAAAGGTTTAGGAGGAACTAAAGTTTCCTTAGCACTTACTATTTCCTTTGTTGTGGGAACCTTCTTTTTCTTTTTGCCACCAACAACTTGAAATTCAGGCTCCTTTCTCAATGGTTCAAAGTCTGTGAAACGATAGTCTTCATTCTGCACCAAATCTAGCTCATTAAGAAACAATGAAGTTTTGTCTTTGTTATTGTTAACTACCATGCCATTTAACCCATTTTCAGTTTGATAGGTTTCTTTATTAGCACTTTTCTCCATTATTCTGTGTTTGATATTGTTCGTTTGTGATTTGGGTTTTGTAGAAATGTTTTCTACTGAATCATCTGCATCAAAACCATTCACAATACAATTCTCTATCTTGGAGTTAACTCCCTTTCCTTTAGGTTTATTAGACTGATTTTGTTTTTCAACAGATTTGATTGTTGATTTTTTGTCTTTTTTAATTGTTTTTTCTACACTTTCTGATGGAACACTGTTAGCCTTCTGTTCTACTTTGGCTTCCATTGAAATTTCTTCATCTGGTAAACTCACCGATTGTTTTATGTCTATCTCATTTGTAATTATTGTTTCAATTCGTTCCTGTGAATCAGTATTCTCATCAGATGAGTTTTTAGCAGTGGTATTTCCCATTCTATTTATAACGTTTAAATGTGATTCGTTAATAACACACTTTTTATCATTATTATGATTTTGAACACTTTGAGTTTTGTAATCTATATGATCTGTTTTATTAGAATTAATAAGTGGGGTGGTTTCATCGATTATTTTAGCTTCACTTTTTTCCTCTCTTGTTTCTTTCACTTCACATTTTTCTTCATTAAGTGGTTTATTTAATTTTTTGTCCTTGTTTTTCTTGTTGTTTTTCTCGGTAGATTTAGAAACCACTGCCACTTCATTTGTAATGGTTTGACTGTTTTTCTTTGGCTTACGCCCATTTTTGTCACCATCAATGAAATCTAATAGTTCGTCAATTTCTTTATTCCCTACATAATTTTCAACCTCTTCAGACAAACTGACTTTTTCTTTTTTAATTTTTTTACGAACTTTCTTTTCTGTACGATTTAAATCGTGACTTTGATGAAATGGTGAAGAATCTAATTCACTTAAGGGTGTACCTCCTAACGTATATGGATTGAAGTCTCTCAGGCTCTGAGGAAAACTGTTAGCTCCAGGATAGTTTTTACGAATAACTGAACTTGTAGAACCAAGTTTTGGAGAGCCTCGCATCTGATAGTAGCGATCTATTGGGTTGCCGTTCTCATCGTAATCTGAGTTTCTCCTGGTTTTGTCATCAAGATCATCTGAAATCATATAGTGAAACATTTTAGATTAAATGTTATAATGATTTTGTTTGTGAAAGAAGTAAGTATGTACAATTAATATAGAAATGGACACTGTAGCATGTGTTGACTGTTTTAAGTCTTTTATATAATATCACAAGACATATCTTTGTTTGTTAGAAGATTCAAACAAAAGGTCAAATCATAACAATAAAGCTCAAATCATAACAATATATTTGAACCTCTCCACCATTTTAACAATCATTTCACTAGTCATTTATTCATAAATATTGGTTGATATGTCTGGGTGTTTGTTCATTTTAAATTTTATGGCAAAATCTTCAGCCTCGTAAATTGCAAAAAAAAATAATTGCTGTTTCAGTAGAGTCTGTCAAATAAAAATGTTTTCCTTACTTAAATTTTTCAAGGGGCCTAAAGAACCAGTGTTTCAACTTTAAATAGCTTTCTGAAAGCCAATTGACCTCTATGTACTAATAATTAGCTACTTAAGTAAAATAAAACTGGGACGAAAAAGACAAATATCATCTCTATATATATATATATATATATATATCTTTTTTACACAATGTACTTTTTCAAAAGCTCAGCTATTGAGAGAAAAATTGCCTTGTTTTGCATTCTTCAAACTATTCAAGTTCAATTATGTATTGTCAATTTATGAAACCACAAAATAAACTGGTTACATACCAAATCTGTAATGTTTACATATTTTATTTGACATATACGTTCCATAATAAATGGAATAGAATTTCAATCCATTTAAACTTTACATATAGCATAAGCCTAAAAATAGCTATTTGTTTGTCACGATGTTAACTTATGTCAAATGTACCAAGTTTTTAACCAGGATTTATCAGCTAAAAAAAGTAGAAAAAGCACCCTCTTGAAAAAATAAAAAACAAAACCCAAAATGTAAGACTAAAGTCTAAACTGACAGTAGTGGTTCCATATGCAAGCAAGTTCAAGTAATTTATAGGCCACATTTATTTTGGGACAGTGACAAGCAAATTTGCTTCTTACTGAGTAAAACTACATCTTCCTACCTATGTTTAACCTTTAGTATGTTTAACCTTTATTACGCAGCAGACTGATATAAATAATATAAAGCACATGATGAATCAATTGTCAACAACCATGTAAACAATAAAAATCAATTTCATTTCCTTCAGATCAGTGCCGATTTCATATTAAACAAGCAATCAATACTAGAATTCTGTCTTTTTGATATATTTATATAAGAAAAATGAGATGACCTTACCTAAGACATGGTAAATACAATGTGATATCCTAATAATTTGTCTATCTTATCTCAACCTGGATGATTCACTGAACCATCACCACACCAGGTGAAAAGTTAAAATCAACAGTCTTAGAACACATTATGAAACAGCTGACCATAGCTGACAGTCTGTATAACATGAATTAGTCAACAATCACTTTGTAATGACAATGTAATTTCATCCACTGTTCTTTTAAACTTATCATTATGTACAAATGAACATGTAAGGTGATCACACCTTTATAACCACTTAGGTTTTACCGGTTATAAAATTCCCGAAGCATGATATATAGCCCATGTATAAATATACTGAACTTTCTCACACTGCCGTGACTCAATACAGTTTGTTTACATTTCAATGTACAATTGTAAAAAGAAATTAAACAAATTTTAACTAAATATTTATGAATGAATGCTATATAAATACAGGTTGAAAAATTAAATGTACCCAAGAAATTTTACATTAACAATTTGACAAAAGGTTCAATACTGTGTTCATTTCGATAAAAATGTATTAATACTTCAACAAGGCAATTAATCTTGATCCATGAAGTAGTCATGAAAGTTAACTGGACTTAAAAATTATTCAATTATTTAACTTTCTATTCATAATTTGTAGACAATATATATATATATCTTGTATTTCCTATTTTAAAATTTTTTGGTAAACTTCCTTTCAAACCTCCCTCTGGTCGCAGAATAAGTATTGACATACATGAAGGTGGTTTCCAAAGGAAGTATTGCGCCCAATATAATACTATTGCCAAATTACATCTTTATTTCCCTTGTTATTTTGATTTATATACAAAATACATCAACAAGCTATTGAGGATAAATTTTTTATCAAACTAAAAATAGCATTAAATTTCTGTTGCACATGGTTAATGCATGACGACTTTCAGTTTCCTGATAAAAACATAATAGTATGATAATACATGTATATAAATTCCATTCAAGGAAGTTCAAGTGTTGCAATTGATTAGTTCCGTCATAAAAACTCCTACTGCAATGGAAATTTTGATTGGCTCAATGCCAATGTGCATTGTTATGATTTGCTGTATAATAAAAGACACCTAGATGCTTATTTGCTTGTCAGTGGCAAATATTTAATGCATATTTAGAACAGATCAGACAATAAACCATTAGAAAGGTTCTTCTTGAATATGTTGGCTGGAATGAAGGGGTGGAAATTTGGATTGCTGTCGCAAACATGTGAAAATGTTTGGTGGTGGAAGAAATACTGCTTTTCAAAATTCAGATATGGAACTTTAACATTCAAAGAGTTTTTAGAGTCTTATTTTATGCCAAAAACATCATTTCAGATTGTCCATCCCCTTTACAACCTTACATGGCTCTGTATTTATTCACAGTCAAACAGATGTCCCCTTAGCACAGATCATATTGCCAGACATGTGAAGTCCAAGTAACCATATTTCTATGGTCCAGTCAGCTCTTGGGCTTCCCAAAATAAAAAGGACTAGGTCAAGCTTATGACAATTGATTTCTTATAAAGATTAATAAATACTCTGTTTAGTTTTAATTGTTTCATCACATTTATTCTTAATGCAGTTCAAAGACTTGTTTGTCGACAAGGATCTGACAACACTCTGTTTTACTGAATGTTGAATGTTTACTAAATTGTTGACTTTAAGATGTATGTTTTGTTATATTGTGTGGTTTGTTAATGCCCGGCTCACACTATCATATTTCCATGTTCAGTTAACCATCAAATCTGGATCAATACCCTCATTAAGTTTCAAGTTGATGTGACCACTAGTTAATAGTAAACTAACTTAACCTTTAACATGATAAACAACCATCAGACTGACAAACAGACCCAAAAACACTCTTTTCCAAAAACACATTTCTGAAATATTTATACAAAGTTTTGAAATCCTCTTTTCTAAGTTAATCATTTAGTTGATTAAACATTCTTGATAACCTTTTCACTTTCAAAATGTTGGGATAAACTGATCATGTGCATATATTTAGCACTGCAAATTAGTCCAGATCTTACAATTAAAACTTTTGAGATGGCCCCTTATATAAACTAGTTTCAGATGATGTTAACAGCACTGTAATCAGCTAGCTACCTGTCTATGTTGGAATCCTATGCATGTGTTTAAGTGTTTTAGCTACTGTATACATTAATGGCCTCTCATCAACCCAATACACATCAAAGGATTTCATTAGTGTTTGATAAAAGTACATTAAAACCAAGCAGTCTATAAAGTAGCTCTTTTCCAAGATTACAATTAATAATTCATCTCCTGTGCAGTTCAAAATCAATTTCCATATGAAATCAACAACTTCCCACTTTTCTGATTCAATTATCAAAGAGCTATTGATATTGACGGAATGTGAATTCTATAAATGGTGACAGAAAGCTGATAACATGATAATGAAGTCTTATTTTATGCCAAAAACATCAAATTTACCAATTCTCTTACTAGAACATTAGAAAAGGCAGGAAATGAGGGCAACTCCCCAGGCTGTTCATTCAACCTTTTACTGGCAATGTACACAAGAATTATGAGATGAAACTGACAATATAAACAAATAATACATTTAGCATTCTAGTAATGAAACTATTCACTACATGCAATTATGAGTCCATAATGAAATATGAAGTAAATCTTGTCTATGTCCAATAATTTATGAGAGCCAAGATGGAGTATCCCCTGCCCCCTCCCTATGTTTTAGCCTGTCCAAAGAGTTTGACCACACTGACCACATTAGCCCCATCTTACCAGCATTCTATACAATTTTGTCTGCAAAAAATCCAATTGAACACAATTCTGAAGTTAATAACACCTTGTAAAGTCCTTAAATGTTGATTATCCAATGACAGTTCAACATGTTGATTTTGTCTTCCACATAGAGTAATCAATAAACACAACATAGAAATCTTGGTCTTATCTACTCTTGTTTACAGTGGAATCTAAATGTTCTCCTCAAGCATTCTATTTATCAATAAAACTAATTAAACCATCATAAAAGTGAAATTTATTAACTATTTTACCTAAGGACTGAAGAAATGAATAACATTAACAAAAAATGTGCATATTTATAACATCAAAATCCAATCGAAAAGGGATAGTAAATAAATGGATGTTGAGATTGATTGTTGCTTAAACATTTTTAATATTAAGTCTCAAGAGAATACTGCAGAACAACGAATTACACATTATACATAATAATCCTATTTTTGCAATAAATTAGTTATTGAATTGCTGATTGTTCAGTTACTGTTGTGAAAATTTTGGCAGATGTGTAACACCAAGTGGTGGGGTGATGAAGAATACAGACAGTTTAAGATTATCATTATCTTACAATAAGCCAAAAATGGAGATTCATAATATAACTCCTTCAAAAATGTCAAATCAAAATGACCATACAGAAAACTACATACAATATCAATAACAAATCGAGGCAAGTATGAAAGATTTCTAACAATGCTATGCTACAAAAGGCCAAAATCAAAAACTGGCGAAAGTCCCATAACTCTTGCAAAAATTGTAAAATCAATACATGTAGTTGGATCAACTTCACAAATGAATCAATGTTACAAAGTATAAAATGGTTAGAGTCCCATAAATGAATATTGCAAACTTTTATAATAAAAATGGTAGTATGTGGTATGTGGTGTGGACTCTCATTGCAGAAGGGGGCACGTGCCCCCCCCCCTCCCCAGTCGGGGTCACAAAAAAAATTTCTAACA